GTGACTTAAGGCACGCCTACGCAAACTAACACCATCTTTGGGCTGGGGAAAATTTCCCCTCTCCGATGATGTCGGTAATTTGCGTTCGATTGACGAGGAAAGATTAATCAACGTTTTGTTTATAAAACTTGATAGTACCCAACCGGGGGATGTAAGATTCGTTTACAATTATGTGGGATTCATCATCAGAGGATGTTAGTGGAGACCGCATGAACCGAGGATGCGATATACCTAGCTGCGGTCCAATGCAAGAAAATTGGAGACCGAAAAATGTAGAGTGTATTAGTGAGGTAAATTAGTTGTGTCGAAAAAAATAGGAAACATATTGCCGACTGGACTCGAACCACGAACGTTCACACTAAGATTTTGTTTTCGTGTTCGGTAAATTTTACCGAAATCAGAACAGCTGAACGTTCGGTAAAACTTTGACCTTCATTTTTAAGTCCATTGAATTAAAAAAATAATTTCAAAACATGTTAAAGGTTGACAAACGATCAAATCTTGTCATTTTAGTGTAGATTTAGTTTCAAAGTAACTGAAAAGCAATTGAATTAAATTGCATAAATTTTACCGATCAGTTCAGCTGTTCAGATTTCGGTAAAAATTACCGAAGTCGGCGAAAATTTCTAAGTGTGTTGCGATAATCAGACCTGTGCTTTCTCCACTGCTCTCTCCATGCTTCTGAATATGAATAGCCTAAAAGCAAACATGAAGCGCTCATTTTCTCGGATACTCGACTTCTCATGCTTTTTCTGCTGGAGAGATGGGAGGCAAGTGTGTGTCGTTCTACAATGTTCTACAATGTGCGTCGTTCTACAAGCTTACTGGTATAGTCGAAAGCGTAGATAGAACACGAAATAAAAAAGACAAAAAACCATTACATCGCCTGCATGGTCAATTTCTAACATTCGTTGCGATGTTCATGAACAGAGGATGATAGGAAACGGAACTAACGTTCATTGTAATAGATTTTGGTTTTCGTGTACCATTTCAATGGTTGGTCTACAATGTATTGAATTGGTTCCGCTTTTTGATAGATCGAAATTCTATCCGCCAGACTATAAAGGTAAAAAGGTAAATGAATCATAACAATGGCGATGTTCCTTAATAAGTAAACAAAATCTCCTTAAAATAGATCGGGTTGCTCCTTAAATGATTGATCAAAATGCGTTAAAAATCTTAAAATGCTCAGTAAATATTTAAAGTACGCTCCTTAAAATAGAGAAAACTGTACATTAAGCATTTGAAAATGCTCCTTAGTATGCACCGCTTTGCACCATTTTGAAGTGTAATTGTACCATATATATATCATCGGAAAAGCTGCTGTAGAAAGGTTAATAGGTACCATGAAATCAGCTGAAATGATCAGTAAAAATGCACAAATGCACACAATGATTTACTGAACATTTCAGCTGATTTCATGGTACTTATTCACCTTTCTACAGCAGCTTTTCCGATGATATATGGTACAATTACACTTCAAAATGGTGCAAAGCGGTGCACGTGAAGACATAAATCAATTGCTTATTGAATTATGATTTGAACTCCAATTCAAACTAGCGATTGCTGTTCAATTGAGCAGTGCAGAAACTGAGACCAATAAAAATAAAAATATCCATTAAGACCTCGTGCATCTATGGATAATAGAGTGATGCAAAATTTGAAATTTTTGCTCCACAGTGCTTAAACGGTTTATAATGATAAGTATCCCAAAATTTGAACTACATTAGTAAGAAACTGACTTGGCACAAACCATTTCAAGTTTTACTATGGGAAAACTTATGTTTTTGTTCATATCTTTCTAACAATTTACCACACCACTATACTTTTAAAAATGATAGCAGAGATTGTAGCAAATTTTCTCAGCTACAACTGTGTTCAAAACTGCTTTTCAATCAAATGTAAGGAACAAAAGTTATTAACGATTCATGTCACTGATGTATTATGATTATGCTCATTCAACTGTTCAGCAGGCAACATTGGTGTTTCTGGTGCGAAGAATATAGCCCAAATATCATGGCTACTATGTCACACTGCCTACAAAACAGCTGCTTGATCATGCCATAAGTTTATCAATCTCTTAAACAATTAATAACATCCTGATGAATGTGGGCGTCTTAGTGGAATACCTGTATAATGAGAGAGAGAAGGATTAGTATTTTCCATTTAATTCCACTACTTTATTTGCTTATCCTTGACAGATACGCGTATTTCGTCTACAATGTGCAGACTTCTTCAGTGTCTTGTACTAATACTCGACTGAGTTAGTACAAGACACTGAAGAAGTCTGCACATTGTAGACGAAATATGCGTATCTGTCAAGGATAAGCAAATAAAGTAGTGGAATTAAATGGAAAATACTAATCCTTCTCTCTCTCATTATTAATTAATAACAATTTAATTTGACATTTGGTAGAAAAACTATATTGGGCAAAGTTGTAGCTTAGAAAATTTCCCATAAGAATAGTTATAGAAATTTTCGAAAAAGCAATATTGAACATTTGTAGAAGACAATGAACAAAAAGTTTAGTTTTCCCATAGTAATTTCAGTATAAACTTCGAATAGTTTGTGCCAAGTCAGTTACTTATCCAATGGGTTTGAATTTTGGGAGGCTTATCAGGACCTGATTTGAAACCGTTTGAGCACTGTGGAGCGAAAATTTCAAATTTTGCATCAGTTTAATGGATAATATCAAAAACGAGATTATACTGTGTAACAAAGGTTCTATTCACCTGCCCGGTGGAAAACCAACATAACAGCAATTTATAAAATAACGAACATTTTGAATGGCTCGAGTGACACTTGCCTTTGATAAAAAAAAACACGTCTACTGAGGATTCATATTTATGAAAAAATCATATATCAATGAAACAGTCATCGGTCGTCATTGAAAAGCAATGCAACTATGTTCTGTCAATCTAATTGACTTTTATTGGTTCTGTTGTCTTGTGAATTTTAGCTAAACGGCCTCTTTTCTGATTTTTATTTCTCAATCTATGAAATATACACGAAAACTATGTTGGAACGAAACTTCTAGAACAATATGAGGAACATTATGCCGTAGACTACACATTTTATATCATATGGGTGGAAAATTTGTAGAACAAATACTTTAAAATTCTTCACTTTTTAAGATATCTTCGAGCATGAAACTAAGTCAAACTTCAATAAAATCACTTCGAATAGTCAACCTTTGGTTAAAAAGTTGATACATGACACATTAAACTTTGCTATGAAAGTTGTTACAGCAGTTTTCGTTATTTCAGTCTCGAGATACAAATATTGTAAACCGTAAATTACCTTAAAAACATAAAATTAACTTGAAGCACCTCTAAATCATCATCGATTTTGCTGAAAATTTACACAGAAGTACAAATTAACATGACGAACAGTAATCACGGTTGACCCGTTACATTCGGAACATTTCGTTTAAAATGAACAGGTCTAGTGTACACCCAGATGTTGACGAAGCCTCAGTGTCTCATCATGGATGATGATACTTACGTCAAGGCGGACTTCCGGCAGCTTCCGTGGCTATTGTTATTCATCGCCCAGCACAAGTGTGATGTTCCGGAGGAAGTAAAGAAGCAGAAACTTTTAAAGTTTGCCAAGAAATACATCATTTGGCAAGCGATCTGCTCATGTGGCAAACGGAATGCGCCGTTCGTGACTACCGGGACTGAAAACGGGGAGATCTACCTCACGGAGTGTCTGTATAAGCGTCTGCTTTCTCTGTTGAAGCAACACGAGGGCCCTACGATCTTCTGGGCGGATCTTGCTTCGTGCCGCTATTCAAATATTATCCTGGAGGGGTATGAAGCCAACGGGGTCACTTTCGTACCCAAGCACATGAACCCCCCCAACGCACCGGAGATAAGGCCCATCGAAAAAAAGAATGAAGCAGGCTCTACGGAAGCATCCCAAGGAGGTCAAATCTGAGAAAGACATGAAGAAAAAGTGGGTTTCCGCACAAAAGCAGCTGCAGCCAGATGTTGTACAGAACCTAATGAGTGGAGTTAAGCATAAGGTGCGAGCGTACGGTTATCGTATTGAAATTGTATGTAATAAATATGCCAAAAGCTTACTTATGGGTTATATTTTATTGTCTGGAAGTTTGAAAAGGATCGGTAAACTAGGTAATTTTCAACACCGTTTTTTTTCCATGATGCAATTTTATGTGAGACACCCTTTATAAAATTCAAGTCTAGCTATCAAAGGACGAAGCAGAAATCCAATTTGGCAGAACAGGTAAACCAAATTTGCAAACAAAATACATTCTTTTGTAAATTTAAACCTGGTTTTCTCAAAACTCCACGTGTTTCAAAAAAATCTGAATCATATTTGGATTCAGCGAGGCAAAATACATACATTAAATTCATTGCATTTGATCGAAGGGCGTAAAACACTGCCAACTTGTGTTATCTAACAATGTCCGGGGTGCTCTGAATTTCATTAAATATTTTAAATTCAGATATTTGTATGTAATTTTCAACGTGGTGTGAACTTTAAGATTTATTGCAAAACTATTTGATTCTTTACTTAGTTTCCACGGCCTTCACCTTCTTCATTGGCCTATTGCCATAAATCACTTTTTGCTTAAAAGATTTTCCCCATTATGCCATGATATAAATATACATGAAGTATGTATTCAACTTTGATTTCCCGCTTCTACTACTGCAGAGCCGCATCCATTATCTAACCTGAAGCATGAACCACAGTCCTTTCTACGAGTGCAAAGTGGCTCCCGGGCCCACCTCACTCTGACCTAGACACCTGGTCAGTGCAGATTAAATCTATTCAGTCCAGCAAAACTTTTACTAAATCACTTGGGAGCTTCTTGATTCTAATGTATACGTTTCACAGCAAGGAGGCACCGTCCCCGTCTATTCAACGGCTAGTGTCTTCTTCCTATAGCACAAAGCAAGGCGATACTCCGAGTGAGTCAAATAGGAAAGATCCAACCATGCAGACAAAAAAAAAAATCGTAAAAATCACTTACTGATTCACGAGGATTGGCGGTGGCGTTAGATCCCGGGTTCGTATGCTCTTGGGGTCTGCCAAATCGGCGACTTTCAGCGTGATTGTAGGATTCCTCGTTCCCGGCTTGGGATATCTGCAAGAAAACAAAAAGAAGGAATAAACGGGTTAGTGCTCAGAGAAACAGAGAAAATAAGACATCCCGGATTGGGAATTACGATTTGGATCGGTTCTGGGTAGGGGTAGTGGAGCGAGGAGCTGGGAGCGGAAAAATGCTCCGATGTCGTTTTCTGATGTCGAAGCCAGTAATAGAAGATGGTCTCATCCAATGGGTAGATTATATTGCAGTTTGCAGATGAAAGGGTTGGATAGTTTTTTGTTCAGTTTCTTTAAAGAGGACATTGGATCATCGGTGCGCGGCAAGGAGTGGTTTGTCTTGTAGAACTTTTATTTTTTTTTGAGGAACAATGGTTCTTTTGTTGGACGAGTTGAATTAACTTTTATGGGAAATTTGTCGGGCAATCTTGTTTCGCTGTATTTTATTCGAAGAAAATTGACGCTAGGATGATTCTAATAAAATACTACTGTAAAAATAACTAAGCGACGATTGATTAGGGTTCTGAACTACTTCGTTGGGTGGAGCGCAGCTTATATCATAGCGCAGCTAATTTTTTGCTGGTAAGTTGTGCTGGATCATGAAATGGCACATCTCATGGCTAAATTTAGAATGCTGGAAGGACTCGACTATCGGTAACTTAATTTTATCACTTCCATCTTCGGTTTCTCGCTAATAACAGCTTCATAATACAAATCAACACTTCCAGTTTGCTTTCAGCTATTGGCACAGCAGAAGTTGTATCTCTCGGTATCAATCGCGCTATCGACAGTTTGTTCACCCGGTCAGGCTTGTTCAGTGCATGTGCATTAGACTGATGCAAAATTTTAAATTTTTACTCCACAGTTCTCAAACGGTCCCAAATCGGGTTCTGATTAGCCTCCCAATATTTGAACACATTTGGTAAAAAAAAACTGACTTTAAACATACTATTTGAAGTCTATATGGAAATCACTATAGGAAAATAAAACTTTTTGTCCATTGTTAAAAAGCTCTATAGCAATTTTTATGGAAAATACACAGCAAAAAAATAATTTTGATATCACGTCAAAGTGGATGCACTACAATCATGTCGAAAATATGGTGTAATATTACTTGCTAAAAAGGAAAAAATTATCATTAATACAATGCATGAACTGACATTACGCTGCTTTTACTGCATTTGTTTATTTATGTGGTCATAAAAATTACATGAAATTTTCGACATGATTGTAGTGCATCCACTTTGATGTGATATCAAAAATAATTTTTTTGCTGTGTATACTCAGCTAAAACTTTGCGTAAGATCGTTTTTTATTTAAACGTCAATTTAAATAGTTATTAATTGTTTAAGAGATTGATAATCATATGGCATGATCAAGCAGCTGGGCAACACTGTACTCTACAGTGTGACATATTAGCCTTGATTTTTGTACATCAATGTTGCATTTCATGAACATTTCAGTGCCAAAATTTCAAAGGGACGTAATTGCATTTGTAAATTATTTCTCGCTAATAAAATCTCACTCATTGAAAATAATAACACCAGCGTAGAGGAATGTTTTCTCTACCAGCTAGTATTGTTATTTTTGAGAGGTATGATTTCATTCGCGAGAAATTGACGGCTAAAGCCATTGTTTACTATTATTTATTATTATAGTCTCAATAAAACACTTAAATCTAAATGTAGTCACTCATTAAAAATTAAAAATTGGCCGACAGCAAACGATGACGAAACCTGGAGGCATTGATGTCAAAGTCAAATAGGTTAGAGGCTTCGTTGAATTGATGAATCATGGCGACAAAGGAACTGTTTGCAGCATACTTTGTTGCATGTACTACTTCATGTAGCAAGGTTCTCGGACGGAGTGTTCGGGCAGGACCATACAGATTAATTTTGGTCAGTAACTCAGGAACATCATATTCAGCAAAACTTTAGCAACGTCCAATCGTCCACTCCATACTGCTTTGTAGGGATTTCAGACAACACACGCGAATTCCAGTAGTGAGCGTACCAATGAACAGTAAAGGGCTTTAAAACACAGAGGATCACGAAATTCCTTAGATATGTTGAACATGAATCCAAGCTGACGATTAGCTTTGTCGATCGTGGTTGAGAAGTGGCGAGTGTATGTGAGCTTTTCATCCAACATGACACCGAGGTCTTTAACGTGATCGCCCCTTTGAAATGTTGGCACTCATTTGATTGAGCATAATCATAAGACACCATCAACTTGAATCATAAATACCAATTCTTTACATTTGATCGAAAAGTGGTCTCCAACAAAGTTGTAGCAGTTACCATTTTTTTTTAAGTAGAGCGATATAGAGCGATATTGCAGATAGATATGATCAAAACATTTGGTTTCCCAAAGTAATTTCCATGTAAATTTCAAATAGTTTTGTGCCAAGTGAGTTTCTTGCTTAATGACATGCTTGGCATACACAGTTTTGGTCACGAACTGCTCATTTGCTAATAATTTTGCACACAGTTGACGGAACATAGTTCTTTTTGAAGCAATAGATTGAATAGAGTGTAAACTTGAAATAGATATGTAAAAAAAAAGTAGATTTTAATGCTAGTAGTAAACTGTATTTGTTTTTGCGTTGTAAAAATGAGGTGAGAAATGCTCACTACACATCTCTGAATTTAAGTTTTAAACTGATTAGTGTTGATTCAAATGTTAAGCTTTACCTGATCTTCGCATATCTATAGTAAACTATGAGTCTAATCTATCAATTACTTTAAAGAAAAATATATTTCAAAATATGAGTGAAAAGTTATTACCAAATGAGCAGTTGGTGTGTACGACTGTGCATGCCAAGCATGCTTAATGATTTTTAAATTTGAGGAGGCTAATCAGAATGTTTGAGCTCTGTGGAGGGAAAATTTCAAATTTTGCTGCTGTCTAATGTGCATTGTTCTTTGCCTGTAACTTGGTCGTTTTGTGGTTGCAATTGAAAACAAAAATTGGATGATGAGGGGTGGTGTTGAAAGTAAGAATACCTTCAAGCTTTAGTAATGAAAGTGCAAAACCCACCATGGACAAAATTGGTAATTTTTCTAAGGATGCGGATCAAGTCCAAGCAACATAAATGACAGCTCAGTAAAAATCCCTTTTCAAAAAATTTAAGTCCAAAGAATTGATGTTCCATACATTACTACTTAACACTATGTAGCAAATTTTCCATTACGGTGATGGAAAGGCAGTTGAGGTACGCTTGTCGAATGCGAGGGATTACGTTCAATATGTGCGAGTGTATGATCTGTCTCCTGAGATTCCAGACAGATAGAGATATAGCGTTGGAGCTTTGGAAATACGGAAAAATAAAGGGTGTCATCCGGGAGAAATTCCCAGCCAAGCAGGTGTACGTGATGTATATATGGATGTGAAAAAGGAAAAATCTATCGAGGGAACAAAAACATGTATTTTCTATGTAAGATAGAGGGGTACCGAATGAATTCCTACCCCAAATGGAAGACTCGGAAGCAGCCAGAGAAGCAACAACTGGACGAAAACAGGACGAAGAAAAACACGGCCAGGATGAAGAATGGGGTGAAAGCAGTTTAGTAGTTCTTAGACAGGTGTGGTAGCCAGAATCGCCAAGGTCTATTTTTTTCAAGCCCGAGAATTTCAGAGATGTACAGAGACCTTCAGAGAATTTATGAAAACTTCTGAAATATTTCAGGAATTTCTCAGAAGCCCAGAGATTTTCAGGGAAGTTTATTGGTGTTTAGTTCAGAAACGAGATCTTCAATAGAATTTAGAGTGTCATGTAAGATCCGAGAACATCACGACATATCACAGAGGGGAGTTCAATTAATTTCAAGGAATTTGCAGAAACCTTAAAGAAGTTTCAAGAATCTCAGGAAATTTCCAGAAACTTCAGCAAAGCTCCTAGAGAATCTCTGGAACGCAATAAATATTATATGCACATCCGGAAAATGTGAGAATATTTAGGGAGTGTTATATCATGTAATCTCGAAAAAAATTAAAAAAAAAAATTACGGAAATTTGGCTTACTAAGTTCCATCAATTTAAAAAAAAAAGCGAGAGTTTTTAGCCGCCACTGATATCTTTAAGTGCAGCGACTTACAAAGAGTTCCGTAGAATTATGGGATATTCAGAGAATTCTATGGTTGATCCAACATCTTCAGAAGCAAGTTTACCGAAACATTAAACAAATTTAGAGAACTTAAGCATAGAAAACATCAGCGATGTCCAGATAAGTTCAAGAGAAATTAGTGATTAAAGGCAAAGTTCCGTGAGCGTAGTTTATAAAACATTTAAGGAAAATTGTGGAAATTTCAAGGCAACACCACTAATTTCAGAAAATTGTGGGTTTATATTAAAAATACTGAGAGATTCATGGCAGTCTAGAGAACATTCTGGAAATTCAGAAATCTTTTGGGCAGTTTTAATAACATGAGGAAAGTCTAGACCAGCGCTGTTAATTTTCATATCATTCGATTGAAGATGAACCAATACAACCATTCAATCAATTCTGTGAAAGCGAATTCTCAGATGACCAAAATTTGGAAATCCCCTTTCTCAGTCGAAGCTCATCGTCACTGTCAATTGAGTCACTTTCTATCATATGATATACGACAGTGGAGTATGGAAGAAACCCAGCAAAATGGTCTCGAACGGACAAGTCGACCCGATGTCGGATCAATGTAAGACAAATTTGTCGACCCAATGTCCTGTTGTGTCAACATCGGGCTGGGGTTTGGTAGAAGTCAGCCGAGCTCCGTTTATGTGTAGGTTACACTCAATGGAATGATATCCATCGTTTCTCAAATGAGAATGATCCATGCCTTCGTCAAATGACTATGCAACTGATATCACCCATTCGAAGGAGGTACTCTTTGATAGCGGATAGCTGCTTTACTCATTTTCATCAAAAATGTTCAATTCTTCTTTCCTTTATTTGACGTCGGTCTCTGTTCCGCAATCTAGTGTCAATCACCGACGGACATCGATTGCCATCCATTGAAGGCAATCGAATGTGCAGGAAAGCAGCTTCCACACCTGCGTAGG